TCGTGGGGTGAGATAAGAACAATTTAATAGTGAAGCTACAACAAAACTGAAAATAATAATGATGGTAATAGTTGTAATAGTAATATATACAAGTATACAAATATACAAATGAACGATACACAGTAGCTTGCTGCTTGATGACCAAGGTTCAGCCCATTCCTGGCTACTGATCCTGGAGCAGGGAGAGTCCCGAAACTGCAATTCCAGAAGAGACAAGAGCCAGAGATGACCGAGAGAGAGAGGGGTGACCCTGAGAGAGACAACCTGGAGAAAGCCAGCTTCTAGACAGAGCCTCATGTATATTCTGGGCATGCTGTGCATGATATGGAATAGACCATTGGCCAGTTTGGGCCTTAGTCCTAAACCTAAGGTTGAATCCTGGGCCAGTAACTAGGGCTGTGCTCCCTCCCAGCTCCCTCCCTGCAGACACTGGCACAGCAGAGAAGCTGGAAAGTCCTTGACTGTCCTGGCAGCAACTATAAACATCAGTATGTGATCAGCTGCCGCCTTAGCACAACTCCAAAACACAACCTCTCACTAGCTGCTGTGAAGAAACTTAATTCTGTCCCAGCTGAAACCAGGACAAGGAGAAATATGTAAATTGGGGATGTTCTAGAAGCCATTTGTAATGTGTTTGAGATCCTGGCTGCCTTAGCAGAATTGAATAGTCTCTTCTTTGTATTAGTCCTGTATGCTAGTTAAACCAGTGTTAGTTCAGAGTTTTATTTTGACAGACTGCTTCTCCAGTGTCTTAGCGCTTCATCATTCTACCTCATCAAAGGTAGAGTCATATACAGTTTCAAAGGATATGGTTGTCAGTTTCTCCCCTTGAGTCCTGAGTTGGCTTTCCTAATGTTTCTACTTTTGTTGAGACACAAAATAAATGCACATCCACCCCCAGTTAGCTAAGAGAGCATAAAGTGTTGAGAAAGCTTGAATATATAGAAGTATAATCAAAACCTACATGCTCATTTCTAAATATATTTCAAAAGATTTATTCAAAATGAGCAACTCATTGAAAGACAGTGCAGACAGTATTTGTATTTTTAGATAACTTCTCCTCACTTGATATGATCATATGTTTAAAAAGGGAGGGAATGCTTAGAAGCCTGATACTGTTCCTAGACAGTAGACAAGTCTGATAATGTCTGTAATCTGACTTGCGTAATTATTTTTTCATCCTTATTAGTGTGTACTGCTGACTTTAGTACTTATTTTCTAAAGCCTTAAGTTTTAGCACAGTTATTCTTGCATTTCTTGGAAACTTCCCCTCTGAGACACCACTTGAACATGGCTTGATGGTTTCTGGGCTGGGGGGAAGAGAAGATGTGCTGAAATGTAAGAATGTGTAAAACCATTCTAACTGGCAGTTGCTTTTATTTTGGCAGAAGTCTTTTCACTGCTTTGATCTATGGAGAATGCAGCATCATACTGGTTTGTTGACTCTAGAGTCAGGCAGTCGGTGTGTGTTCTCCAGAGTGTCTGCCAGTATTGCCATTGTGACTGCTTCAGCACAAATCATGTTCGTGAACGGCTGTTAGGTACTTGGTATCGCAGGGGGAAAGGGTCTAGTTCTTGTCATTTGAGAGCAAAGAAATAGATTTGCGTCTAGTCAGAATGTGAGTATATAAGCACATCTAACTGCTGTGGCTGTGTTTTGGGGAAAGCTATGGGAAGCTTTGAAAATAGGTGACCCTTTTGGAAGGGCTTGCCTTTAAGTAATTTTTAGCAGTAGGCTAACTGGTAGCTTTATCTATATAAGGGTGAGATATGCCCTTTTGACCTTTCAGGAGAACAATACCTTTTATTGGACTCCTGTATGGATTTCCTTGATTAGAGATAACTTTTGAAGTCTTAAGTGCTTAAAACTGTAGTGAAACTGCTGCTTAATGGAGTTCAAACTCAGTAAGACACTCCTGTTTGGCTGGAGAGGTATAAAAAATAAGAGTTTCTGGGCTTTTATGTGCTGTGTGCAGGCCGAGCATGTGTTGAAATAAGTAACATAACTGTTTTTACAGGATTCTGAGCTCTAGTCTGGTATTTTTTGTAAAGCTGGTTTCAGTGTGTTTAGTTTTTCTATTTGAGTATTGATATTTTCACCAAAATCTACATCAAGGGCTTAGAAAATGTGTCAAACATTTAAAAAAAATCACCCAAAACTGTCTAGCACAGTTTAAATGAAGCCAGAGACATAGGTATAACTACCCAGTGTTCTGATGGCACTGGAATAGCCTGGCTTTGCTCTTCATTTGGTGTCCTTTCCATCTGTCTGTTTTTTCTACCTGTTCACCTTCATGGTTCAAAGTTACTACTTCATATTTCTTGTCTCTAAACATCCTTTTTTGGATGCCTACCAAGCCACCTGGTTCTCTTCTGTCTTCTTTCTTGAACATATTATGCAGCTGCTGTTTTACCTTATTTTCTTGAGATTTCTTTTTTTCTTCTCAGTCCTTGACTTTGGATATGTAGGCCAGACCTTCCTCTCTGTTTCATCTCCCAGTAAATACAGGTCGTCTGCTTCTTGGTGGCTTTTTTTCTCTAAGGCTCTAAAGAAACAGTTTTTACTACTTCCCCACTGCATTGTAAGAGAACCGAGAAAAATATTTGAAAAAGTATTCAGAGGAGTGTCAGGTTAGGACTAAGAACTACATTTTAGCCACTGCATTTTGGAACTGCCATGGATTCCTGCAATCAAACCTTGCTGCAAGGTAATAGTCACTACTTATGTTTTGGGTGCTATGAAAAACTGCATTACCTTGTGAAGGAAATTGCAACATGACAGAGGTACTACTATTTAAATTCTAGAGTTACTGCAGTGAGTTATATAGCATGCTCAAGTAAAATTAGTTTTTAAATCTGTGCTACCTCACTGCTGTGCTGCTAGCTACTATATTTTGGATTGTATCTATTTTTGAACGTAGTGGTGAGACGGACAAGTTTTTTCAGTAGAGCTGATTTGCATTTCTGTTTTGCAAGTAAATCAGAAGTTTCAGTACTTCTTTTAGGGAAAGAAATGGTAGGGAAACTTGAAAACTTACAAACATATTGGTCATGAAGAGGATGCAGAAAGAAGATGTAGTAAAGAAAACATGGTTTGAGTAGACTGGTGTCCTTAGTGGGCTACTAGAGATCATGAAACTTAGCTCCTCTAATCTACTACCTATCTAACTTGATAGAAAATAAGTGCTGTTGCTTTTTCCTGTAAGAATGCTGTTGTAAAACAGTAGTATGAAAAGCCAGCATGCTTGTATAACCCCTGAATGACTGAAGCGCAGGACTCTGTAGTTTGTCTTACCTGATAAGATTCTGAGGGTGACTTCAGTTTTGCCGAATCATAGAATGGTTAGGGCTTTAAAAAAGGAACTGCTTTAGTTCAAACTTAGTTTTACACTCACTGCATGGTTTTAAGCTTATTCTGCTGTCTTCTTGCTTGTTTGTGCAGCCAAGTACATCTGACAAGACTCCAGCATCACTTTCTACAAGTCCTGAAAATAATTAACAGAAGTCTACATCTTATCTTAGTTGTCTGTTGTGTTTTACATCAGTTTGTTCATAGCTTGAGCTGTAATTTGGATCAATAGATCTCGATGGTGAGCTATACTTTAAGAAGCATTGTTGTGCTTTAAGCCCACCTGGCAACTAAGCACCAAGCAGCTGCTCACTCTCTCCTCTCCCCAAGTGGGAGGGGGAGAAGAATCTCGAGCAAAAGGTAAAAACCTTATGGGTTGAGGCAAGGACAGGGAGGGATCACTCAGTCACAGGCAGAAACAGACTCAACTTGGGGAAACACAAAACAATTTAGTTTGTTAACAGTCAATACTAGAGTAGGATAATGAGGAGAACCACATCTTAAAAAGACACCTTCCCCCCACCCTTCTTCTTGGGTTCAAAGACTTTGCTCCTGATTTCTCTACCATCTACCCCCCAGTAGGGCAGGGAATGAGGGTTGTGGTCAGTTCATCACACGTTACTTTCTGCTGCTCCTTCCTTGTCAGGGGGAGGACTCACACCCTTCCCCTGCTCCAGTGTGGGGTCCCTCCCATGGGAGACAGGCCTCCATAAACTTCTCCAGTGTGAGTCCTTCATGTGGGCTGCAGTTCTCCTCTAACTGCTCCAGCGTGGGCTCTCCACAGGGTCACAGCCTCCTTCAGGCACATCCACCTGCTCCAGTGTGGGTCCTCCACGGGCTGCAGGTGGATCTTGGCTCCACCGTTGACCTCCATGGGCTGCAGGGCAAGCTCTACTCCAGTTCCTTGGCTGCAGGGTCACAGCTGCCTCACCATGGTTTTCACCACAAGCTGCAGTGGACTCGGCTCCAGCACCTTCTCCCCCTCCTTTCTTCCTGATCTGTGTGTCTGCACAGTTGTCTCTCTCACATCCACTCCTGTCTCCACTGCAGGTTCTTTCACTGGCTTCTGGAAAGCTCCCAGTGCTTGGGTTGGGCTGGCCAGGCTCCTGCTGCTGCTCCGTGCGCTGTGCCCTTCTTAAATGTGTCATTCACAGAGGTGGTGATTGGCTCAGCCTTGGCCAGAGGCAGGTCTGAGTTGGAGCTGGGGAAACTTTCAGCAGTTTTTTACAGGAGCCATCCCTGTAGGCCCTCCCCTGCCACCAAAACTCCCTTACACAATCCCAAAACAAGCATGAAGCGGCCAGGTTTTTTTATTGAAGCCTTATATGTTGTGAGTACTGTTGCCTGTTTCCCATGTTAGAGTAGATCAGTTAATCATAGCACAAGGACAATTAGTGCTCCTCTAATTCTTAGCAAATGAAACATGTACACTTACCCAAGTTAGCTGATAAAATTACTTTTGTTTTCATAGAGGTGGCCTCAGCAACATGCTGTTTCAGTGCTCACTACCTGATACCATTGAGACAGTTGCGGATGAACCACGGAAAGTTCTGCTGCGCTTATATGGTGCAATCCTCCAGATGGTGAGTACGTAGAGTGCTTTGGGAGTGGGAGGGTTTCTGTAGCGTCATTGTAATATGTTTGGAGATCTTAATTAGTGACACACGGCAAGTGTGTGCTGCTTTATCCTTTGGGGAATGTGTTTTAGCAGTAGTGGGGTAGATTGCTAGCTTAAAGCAGTTTTCTTTCTAGTTTGTTATTGTCTAGAACTTACACTCCTTTCTATACAGATCCTGACTGGCTTGCATCAGCTGAAGGCTCACTTGCTGTCTGTTTGATCAGTAATGTTTTGTTTGTGGTGTCAAGTTTGGACTGTGGTGTTTCAGAGAAGTTATTAAAGTTTGCTTCTGTACAGTATATAGGACTTTGGCATAACTATCAAGATTGCAAGAGACTAAACCACTTAATTTTAATCTTGGTACCACTTATGAATCTTGGGGATAAAAGTTGAAGGTTTTGTGAAACTGTGCTCAAGCATTTTATTAGAGATCTCATGGGTAATTGCATTGCTGGAAAATTCAATCTATAGTGTTAGAATAAAAATGAAGCGCAAACATCAATACCGTACAGCCATCTCATTCCAAAACATGCTTTCCTAAATGTGTGATATGCCTTGTAGCTGGCATAGAAGCTTAACCAGATGTTTGTCAAACTCTTCTGATGTTACTTTTCTTTTATTTGGTTAGTACAATGTAAATAGTGTTGAAATTTGTCAAACCTTAAGAGAAGTGGTTGGCAAATCTGTTTCAAATTGTAAGGTTTAAAATTAAGAATTATAAAGGTGATCTCCTCTAAAGCTTATAGGCTGTTACCATAGGACTACACAACAGATCCTTCTCTTAACCAATCCCTGCTAGTGACTTGATTATATTGCAAATAAATAATTAATCATAACAGAAGTGTTTAATCTATGAAAAATGGCAGCTTCTTAAAATTCCATTTGGATGTTGGCAGTTGTTTCTATTTGACTTGGAGGATCTGGTTTTATTATCTATTAATTTGATATTTTCCAGTACTCAGTCACTTGGTTTGAATAACTGATCCAATATCTGCAGGAGATTGTTTCTGAAATTTCAGCCCATTCTTCCTGCTTCTGCTGCCTTGACCAAATTTACTGTTAAAAACCACATTGGATACTGTTGCTTAACTGGCTTTAGAGTGTTCTTTTATTATACTGTGTGAGGCATTAACTTTCCCGTGGTAGCAAACTTTTATCAGAAATATGTAAAAGATTCCAGTGGTTTACAATAGCGTGAAACACTTGACTACACCATTGCATGTGTGTTGGGAAAGTTTAAACTGTTAAACCAGAAAAGTGTGTAGAACTTCATTAATTCAAGCTTGAATAGTCTTTCCTTCAGTTTAGGAAACCGAAAGCAAAGTGAAAAAAATGGTGATGAGAAACTTTGTTTTTGAAATGACTCCTAGGGCTGATGCAAATAATTTTCAGAACTATTAGTGGCTTTAACATAATGCTGAGTTAATACATAGAAGGCTTGAGTAGGAACATGGGCTGTAAAACTTCTGTAGTGGTAGAACTTCTGTTGCCCAAGAGCTGTGAAGAAATGTGGCCTTTCCTTTATATTTCAAAGGAAAAGTAGACTCTATAATTTGGTTGCCCTCCTCTTCCCTAAGGGTTTTTTTTAACTTGCCTTTTCTGTGCCCCCATCCACTGAAAAGAAATCAAAATAAAATTTTGGGCTCTAAAATCAGAACTAATTTGGTTTGAAAATTGAAAGTGTGTTCATAACTTTCTAACCTTTCTACTCTTGGTGTTGAAGGATCTTTTGAGATGTCTAACTTCCTTTATTTCCATAGTGGCAGTGAAATGACTGCTTTTGTTGGTGCAGTTCACTAAAGGTTAAGTAAGCAGAGAAAGTCCCAAGGTAAAACTTTCAGATTGCATTGAGGTTCACAACTTTTGTCGACAAACATTTGTCTCTTCCAGCCTGTCTACCTTAAATGCAAGTTAAACTATAAGCAAACTGTTTTATTGGGGTATTTTGAAAACCTCACTTGGGACTCTTCTGAACTCCTGGGTGGCATAAGCAGAATCCTATGACAATCCTGTTAAGAGGGAGTAATTGATGTTTGTAGTAATGTTGCATGAGTTTAAAGCCCTATAGAAATTAAGGGACACTGCTTAAGTGAGTTGAGTTTTGAGACCTTATGCTAAAATCACAACTTAATGACTTAATTGTAACTGCCACTGGGTATTAGTAGTTACCACTTGTCTGTTTGAGCCGTTGTAGCATGTTTTTTTAACCCTTGTCCATTTTACTTTCTGTTGAAATTGGAGCACAAAACAGTGATAGTATCAGCTCTCCTTATTCCTTTACTGTAATACTATAGATCTATAGAAATCTGCACCAAATTGTTTTATGTGCAGAAGACAAGTTTAAACTGAAGTTTTGAACAGAAGTGAAAAATAGATACCTGATACTAAATGAATGGGACTGGCACCATAATTCTTTGAGCCACCTTATAAAGGAACCTTCTTGCAGTTTGGAAATAGCCCCAGTTTGCTTATTACGAATCTTGGAAGACACAAATGTCAGTACATGAAACTCATCCAATAAAAAACCACGCCAGTTGGCTAAAGCCACCACACAGGGAAGGCTTTGTGCCTTCCTCTGTCATAGCTGATATGTTTAAGCCAATTTTTTGTGTGCATGACTGTTTTGGGGAGGGAGCTGGGGGGAGATGAATTGAACTGGCTCGGCCATTGTTATGAATGGTCGCACTGGCATGGATGTTTAAAAATCAAGGACTTCTCTTGAGTGTATCCTTGAGCAGAACTTTTTTTTTTCAGACCAGTATTTGTGCTTGTGACAGGTTAAAGTACTAACCACATTAAAACGCAAATATTTGAGGCACAATGCAGATATGTTCTACAGTGAAAAAAGGGAAATGTCTGACTCTGCTTCACTTACTCTTGCTCCAGATTAGTTGCTAAATTTAAAGGGGAGCATTGAAAGTAAAACTTCCTCATGACAAAATGTCTAACTGTTGGCTATATCAGTGTTAAAATAACTGAAACAAAAGGTTCTCCAGCAATATGCCATGTAATGTCCAGACTTTAAGACTGGATTTCATATGCAGATCACTGTAGTGTTTCTGCTTAAATTCAGAACAACCAAAACTTCCCACCTCTTAGAAATGCTGATAGGTTTTCAACATGAGCTAGTATCAACAACAAAATGCTTAAATTAGGTGAACTTCAAAGAAATTCACCTTATCAAAAGGTAACTTGGGGATTGATTCCCATTCCTTTACATATGTCAAAAGAACCTTGAACTCTGATTCACCCCGGGGCTCTGTTACTTTGCAACAGCCAAAACAAAATATTCTATACAAATGAGGAAAACGAAACCAGTATTCCTAATGTTCCTCTCTGGTCTCTCAATTTCTATGTGAGCAGATGCAAAATAAGTATAAATGGTTGCCACAGTTCTGTGGTAAGTCTTTTTCCATACCTGCCTTGCTGCCTTTTATCTTTTGTAACTAAATACAATGCAGACTGCTGTGTAACTGTAATTATTGATGTCTTCTGTGGTTGTTGGTGTCCATGTCTGTTTGTAGCATGGAGTAACTACAAATCCCTGGCACTGGCAGACAGCTTGAAAGAAACCAAGCACCTCTTACGGGGATATATTTGTGTTGGGTGGAGTTAAGGGTGTTCTGGGGGTAATGTACCACTTTAGTTGTATATGCATGTGTTCTCTGCTGCAGGCTTGCCCATGCGATCGTGCCTAGAGCACTCTGGTTTCCAGGTGACAGACACGATTCACGGTATAGTATGAGATCTCTGAAGTTGGAGCGTTCTCTACAGCTTTCATTTTCTTTAGTACTGGATTACATTGTTTAAAAATGAGGCTTAAGTAGCACCACCTACTGCCTGTGCATCTGAATGTTTACAGCAATAACAAAATATCAAAATACTGCCCCTTCCTTTCCTCTGCTCCCTCATAAGAGAATGGTAACTTGAAATGAAGAGGATTAGAGATGTCTTTGTGGCTTTTGTAGGGCTTGAACTGGGAAATCTTCTTCAGATGCTAGATTCTAGGTCTTCAGCAAATTAGTATCAGTTCCTTCAGGTCTGTCAGGGATCAGTGATCAACGGCAGATTCTTAGGAGCAGAAATAGCTATTGCAGAATCTAAAACTGTTTGTGTTCCCATACCCCAAAGTTCAAATCAATGTCTTCCAACAGCTTCTAGAATTAAGAAAAGTTTCCCCTGGATAGGTTGCCTCTAACCTCTCAGGCAGTTCCTTGTAATGTTGTGATGCCTTGGGATTTGGATTCCTAGGGCTTTGTGTAAATCAAAGTATTGCAGTGTTTTGAAATCTTGGAAACTACTAAAGCTGGGTAAACTCAAAAATGGAGTTATAATGTAAGGTTTGAATTAGTGGGCAGAGTGAAGGGCTATTTGGGAAAGAAAGCTGCAAGTTCCTCTTATACAGAATTATCCTGCCAAGCAGGATTTTAGATACAGAGCTCATCTTCCAGCTACAAGAGAAATGTGGGACATTAGACGGAAAATTATGAAGCGCTAGGTTTTCTCAGTCAGACTGCCAGATGCATAAACCCTGTCTGGTCATCTTCTGATCACGGAATGGGTAGTGTGGAATGTCTCCCATTCTAGGACTTCCATCTTATACCCGAAGTTTCCTACCTTAAGGTCAATTTACATGATCACAAAGTAGATTCTGTAACAACTTCTGTTGTCTCTGTGCATATAGCTGTCCCCTCTTACTAAAATTGTAGTGAGCTTTCTTATTCTGCTTTGAGAATAAATCTTCCCACAAAAAAAACCATTGAACAAATATATAAAGAAATCTTAAAGATGTAGAACACAGGTCCATTTCTAGTTAATATTTCTGTAGAGAGTGATTAAAAACCTAGGAGTTATTAAATCATTCTCTTATTTGGGTAATTAAAGTCTTCTCATTACTGTTGAAGTAAATAGCTCCCAGAACTGGACATAAGCTGGAGCGAGCTATTAGAGTTTATGGAAAAAATGAAGTTTCGATTGGTTGGGTGAGAACATATGAGCTAAATGTGTAGGTCAAATACCTCATGGTATGAGATGTTCCACTTTGAACCACTGTTCTCATAGGTGGTTGTGCAGTCAGGAAACAATAAAATCCTACCACTTTAACACCTGCCGAACTCTTAAACTTCTGTTACCTAAATTGCCTCCTGCTTACTTCATTCTACTTGACCACGTGTACTGGAGACTTCCCTAATTCTAGGTTGAGGACATGGCCACTTGTGAAGACTGATCCTCTCCAAGCTCCCATTCTTATTTGCAAGTTATTTACAAATCACTTTGTATTCATTTTCCTCTGGACACTAATGCTCCATTCTGAGGGAACAGAAAAGAGGAAGGGATGCTGCAGAAGTCTCTTTTTCTGACGAATCTGCAGTACACATCCCTAACTGTCTCTTTCTAATGGCACAGTAGGTGCTATTAGGCTATCTCCAACACTGACTTGAGGTGGACTCTTAGAACTGGCTAGCTCTTCATACAGTATGACTTCTGGAAAGTGGATGCCAGTTCAGGTTCTAGGGAAAAGCCTAATCTGCTTACCTTCTGATGAACTGAACCATTCTGAGAGCACCATTAATCAGGAAAGACTCCTGGATGGTGAGTAACTTTCTGACTGTTCAAGAAAAACCTGTAAGATGAAGAGTGGTATTGACGTAGGACATGCTTGTTCAGAGAAGCCCTCTGTACATGACTTTAATACTATTGAGCAGTTAAGCATTTAGCTTTAGAGAATATGTTTTGACTTTATTAATTTCCTTGAAAGGAATATAAACTAGTAGTAGTTTTCATATTGTCTTGTTTTAAACTTATTATCCTAGTGCAATGGGAAGTACTTGCTGGAAGACCATTGATTCATATTAACTGTACTTTTTCTATAGCTTCTGAAATACTCTTAACTGCATAGCTTGTGTAAATCATTAGCTTGTTGCATTGTACTTAAGGCAGCTGGTGTTGCTTAACTGTATTCCATTAAGTTCATACTTCCTTGGTTTGGGTATGTTAGAGCTTTGGGACAGAAAGGTATGCACACGGTTCTGTGAATCAAATGCTTTTTGTTCAGAAGGTGGAGATGCAGGCTACCTTTATGGGCCTCTAAGGCTAGTCTGTTTTAAAGTCAACGGTGGAATTGCAACATAAATAGCAGCCACAAACTGTGGCTAATTCTAAGCAAATATTTACATTTTCTTCTCCTTACCTTCAAGCCCTTTAAAGGACAAGGCTTTTGTTACATCTTGAATTTTAAATGTGGAGCTCTATTAAAAGCATGTGCCACTGAGGGTTCAGTTGCTGAGGGTATGGGTTGATACTCTGAAACTGCTTTATAATGACTGTTAACGATCCTAGCACAATACATTATGCGTGGAATTTGGTACAGTTTTGCTAGTAAACTGCAGATCTTACTGAGACATCTTTAGCTTACATGAACAGTTAGTTTGAAGAAAAATCTTGTATTTGTGTGGCCAGTGGTACATTGTACAGATAGCCTAGACAGCGTACTGTAAATACGGAAATTCTAGCCACAAGAAATCTGGAAAATAAGGTAACAAAGAAAAGCAAGCACTTTGCAGGCTTCATAACATGCCTCTTCTAATAGTCCTTCTAAGGCTTTTATGTAATCTCTGTAATGCGTCTCTTATGTGCTTTAGCTGCAAGAAGAATATCGTCCCAGATGTCTTACAGAGGGACTTAATTTTCTCTTAATTAAAAATGTTCCTCTGAGCTTATGATACATTGAAGTCTTGTTTTGAAATACTGGGAAATGGTAAAACCATACCTGAAAATCAGCTCTCAGGCTATTTACAGGAGTGGTTTGGTCTCAGTGGCACATCCTTTTGAAATATTTCATAATGGTTGAACCAGTGTGGTGGTCAGATGGATACTAGTGCTGTAGCTGTCACAGATCAAGGCAGTGTTGAGACATCTAGTTAATTGTAGCTTGCACTTCTATTCCCTTTGTTCTGGTGGTGCAGATTAATCATGTTAAATTTCATCTTCTCATTGTGTTTGCTTTTTCTCATTCATAGAGGTCCTGTAATAAAGGAGAGTCTGTGCAGTCTCAGAAGGAAAATGACTTGCAAGTGAGTAATTAAATTTGCTGATTTCACAGAATTTTATAGATGATAGAGAAATGTGGTGATCCTGCTTGTTATACACCAGTAGTTATTCCACCTGGTGTCTGGGCTGTGTTTCCAGAGCTGTAAACTGTAATGAAGAAAAGAAACCTATTTGCTCATAGAAATAACATCATAATGTGAGTGTCTGTATGTGCTCTGGAAGGATTTAAGTGTTCCACCTTCACAAGAAATGCACACCACACCACCACCCCCCAATTCTACCCTAAATGGTTTCTTACTATTTCTGACATTGGCATAAGTACCACTATTTGTAATACAAGGCTCTTCTTTCTTTAGCTTTCTTTAGTAGAGAAGAATCAGTACTCTGCTTTACCTAATTCCTATTTTACAATACATTGAACTCTTCCGAGGGAAGTCTATGGAGCTGGAGAGAACTTCCTTTTGAATGTGAGGTGTTTGATTAGCATTGTGCTTGGATCATCTGTGTTCTGCAAACTTTAAGGTTCTTGCGTTTGGAACCATTTCTGCTCATCCAACATGTTTGTCTGAGTGTAATTTTTCATAGTCATCTGAACAGAATTTGGTAAGAGATTTCTACCCTGGCAGTATTTTTTCAGTAGTGGATAACATTGCAGCATGTTAGCCAGATGCTTTGTGTGTTACGTATTGGCAGTGATTAGGGAGAAGTACGTTTTACTAGTTGGATAAGTTCTGCTTTTCTCCTCTTGTATTTTCTGCCTTCTGGGAATGGCATCTGAAACAGTTCAAACATTTGATTTTTTTTTCTAGTGAGTTGAAACTTGTTTTAAAACTTTTGTTGTTGAATGACTGCTTTTGAAGTTTTGTTGAGCTTTCAGTTCAGTTTACTGGAACAACTTCAGTCAATTGGACCAAGACGAACTAAAACATGTTCTGGTTTGATTCCTCAGTTTTCTTCAGAGATAAAAAAATGTAGGTGGCTCTTTTTTTTTTCCCTGCCCCAATCCAGTAAAAAAGAGTTCTTAAAGTTATAAAAGAAAACAAAAATCCAAACAAGCCCCACCCTGGTGTCAGGAGCTCATAGAAGTTTTGCAGTACAGGAAGCAAGGCTTTGAACTTGAGAACTGTCTTCGTTTGTTGCCTGAGAATAGTGGTTCTGTGCCGGTAGGTTATTTTTTTCTGCTATTAATCTCATAGTGCTGGAACTTCACTGCTGGATCAGCATACTCAAGAATTCCTGTTGGGATGGATTTGTTAATTTTCTTGAGTCTAGATAAAAATTGTAGGTAGATCTGGTCAGAGGAGTTGATATCATCCTTTGGAGAGAAGAGCCTCTAGGTAATCCCAAAATGTTCTGGATCACTAGCAAAAGCCTTGTAGCTTCTCAGAGCTGCCTGGTGTTTGACAACTAACTAAAGATGGGATATTCTTCTGTTAGCTCATAAGGTCTTGTAACAGGGATAATCTATTTTTCTATAGGTAGGGGTAATTTTCCTCAAAGTATTAATATTTCATGTATTTTATAGTGAGCTTTTTGTTGAAGCAAGAATAAAGCAGAAGCTTCAGTTCCAACTGAAGTCTAGTGATCTTTCCTTGCCTGAATGGGACTTGCATGCTGGAAAAGTCTTGCAAAGAGCATTTATAATTATTAGGTTTGAAATGCAATGTTCAGCTTTAAGTATTCATTTAAAAGTGTGAGTGGTCGAATCTTCTCCAGAAGCTTTTAAATAAATTGCTTGTGGTTACTTATACCCATTTGAAAGTGATTAAAATTGAGAACTTCAGAGCTTTGAAACAAGTTGTTGGTAATATAGTTATATATTGCAAAGTATTTGAAGTGGTTGAGATATGTAATTAGTTACAATGCTTGGTCCTTTAAAAAAGTCATCAGGTGAAGATTTAACTGAAGAATTAGACGCTTAGATTTGTTCAGTGTCCACACGAAGCATGTTTTAGAACTTTATAATGTCCTTTAGTAGTTTATTTCCACACCTATACTTGACAGTAGTGTATGGAGTGGGGACTTGGTGAAAGGTCCATCGGGTGGTATGAAGGAGAAGCCTTTGTGCCTGATAATCTAAACATTTTCTGTCTTTTAAAAGTCAGGCCCCAGAGCATTCAACATTGAGTATTCTCATACTGCTGCTTTCAAAGCGTATTTGCCTGTACTTTTTAATCCTGAAGCAGATTTTTCCTGGAGAGATGCAGCCATCCTTGTTAACACTGCTGCTGCAGAAGTTTGTGAACTTGCAATTGTTTAGTTGTGGATTGTCTGAAGGTTCTAAATTTTTAAGCCTGTCTTAAAGAACTAGGGCTGGGCAGACATGTGGCAGAAGTAACCCAGAAGTGCACTATTGAGTAATTGGGAATTTCCCTATTTCTGGCTGTCACTTCTGATGCCTTAAGGGACATGTTAATGAAGAACAGGCACATGGTATGTGGAAAAACATGGCCCCTTTAAGCTCTGCTAATAAAATATAACTTCAAGTTTTCATCTGTAAGTGAAGGACTGTAGAAAAAAGTTTATTATCATGAACTGTTCTGGAGCTTATTTGTGTTAATAGATCCTAAATTTTCTTTGAAATTTCTTAGGATAAAGTCAACAAGCTAGGTGAGTTCAGGGAATCTTAAGAGGTGTGAAATGAAGAAAAAAAACCCCAGGATTTTCCTCCTATTCTATGTAAAATGGATCACATTAATAAGATATTTTTGGAGATTAGTAACAATTGAGTAATTTTAGTTGTGTAGGATATTGTTTCTTTTCTTTGGTGCTTGGTGTTATCCACGTATCAGGAGTTGGTTTATCAGTAAGATGTGAAAACAAGGAACTGACATCTTAATTGGAACAGCCAACAGGATTGCTGTAATCAGATTTTAAAACACTTTGGTGTTGTACCAGGAACAGACAAATTCAGTATTGGCTAATAATGGAGCAGGCGTTCAGTAACTTGTGTCTAATTTGCTTGTTGGTGCTTGGCATTAGACTTCAGAACTGAACTGAAAAGTTCAGATCTGTGGTGGTGAGAGAATGTGAAATAATTAAAAGTATGTAATTTTGGTGCATTAGTTCTGCTTCAAGGAGTTGAGACTGAAAAACAGGGGAGGACATGGATGTAATAGATTTGTATGCAAATTATCTTAAACTCTCAATTTATATTCTTGATAACTCTCTCACTTTTTATTGAAGTTAATGCTTCAGAACATAGTAACATCAGTTTTCCTACACTTCAATATGAAATGCTAGAATTTCTTGAGAAGATGACAGAATAATAAGGTGTGGGCCAGTAATAAAAATAATTTCTCAACGGAACTGCCTGGAGCGTAGTCAAGAGTGGAACTTGAATAGAAAGTTATTTACTGTCTGAGACTGCAGTGACTACAGTAACACAAAATGCTCTGCAGTCCGAAATATCTGAGAGCTTAGTTTTGTGTTTTTAGTTCTTACGCTTTGAAGTGTCATGGGTGACATGCTTTGGGGTGAATTGCTCAAAAGTAGGCAGAAGCTTAGACCTCTAGGATTTGAGTACGGCTGGATTCTGGTTGACGTAATTGCTAGAAGCAGTGATTTATACTGAGGCTTCTATGTTTACTTACTATCTATTATCTAATCTTACCCATCAAGAAAACTCTACTTCAGTGATTCTGTGTTTTGAGAATATTTCATATTTCTATTAATTTTTAAACACTCATTAAAAAGCTGTCTGCTTGTGATTGTTACGGACTGAGTTTATTGATGTAAGGAGAAACTTGAAGAAAGTTATTGAAACTTGTGGTATGTTTGGAGGTAGAAAAGGAGGAATGTTCACACATGTTCCTTAGCAGGAGCTGAAATTATTCTCTCTAAAACAACAACAAAAACAGATGACCTAAAATGTGCTTAACGAAAACAAGTCCTAAGTCATTTTTCTAAATGAAAAATGGATCAGTTAGCTTGTTCACTTCATTCACTTGCATAGTTAAAGTATCCTTTTGTGAGGCAGTGTTCCACAGTGTGTTAAAATACGCAAGGATGATATTTATAGCTCCTGTGCTGTGTTTCAGTAGGATAAACTCCTTCAGGAAATTAATTTGCAGTGTTTCCGCAGGTTTGGTTTTTTACATAGTTTTCCTTTGAAAACCAACAGTACCTGTTAAGGAGCACACATTTTCATTCCCAGCTTTAAACTTGAAAGCAAAATATTTGTATTGCTCCCATGCTAACTAAGAGCTGTTACTAGTCCAGAAACTTTGGTTAATAAAATGTTGACTCTTCTTTTAAAGCTAACCCTAAAATTTCCCACTTTGCAGAAGTTTAGTTATTGTCCACACCTGAATTAATTCCTGTGCAAGCACCAGCTAATGCTTTATTTTTTTTGTAGGGGGCAGAAGCCATGGTTCTGGAAAGTGTAATGTTTGCCATTCTTGCAGAGAGAGCTCTTGGCCCAAAGCTGTATGGAATCTTTCCACAAGGGCGACTGGAGGAATTCATTCCCGTAAGTCGTGTTCATGATCAGTTAGTGGGCTGGAAGCTGTTTTAATTGATCATGACAAAAAGGTCTCTGGACTGCCTAGAAAAGCAGGGATGTGGGAATGGAATACTTTGCAGCCTGCAGTAATTGCTAGCTGGAATTTGATATGGTCACAGTGGGTGTTGAGAGAGCCCAATTATAGCTCTTGCCAGTGAGAGATATCTAAGAACTCTTCAGCTGTAGCAGGGACTAATGAAGATAAAAAGCCTGTTAGATACCAAACACAGCATTAGAAGCTGTGGAGTAACACTTTCCTTTAACAGCAACAAGAACAGATGCTTTTGATATTCTTAAATATTTATACCCAATCTGCTTTGAAGATATTCTTAGTGTGAGATTTGATATTCCCCAGGTCTGGATCTAGAAGAGAATTGACTTAAGTCATAAGTAAGCTAGGCTGGCTAACTCAGCTTTTCCAAAGACAGCAATTTTGTAAATTTGGAATGAAAAAAATGGAAGTGTGTATTGCTTGAGTACTAAGTATTTTATACTATACTATATAGAGACTTATGTTAGTGTTTGTAATTAATCGATTAACTGTATTGTAAGAATATTATCTTTTATTACAGAGCAGGAAACTAAGTACTGATGAACTAAGCTTACCTGACATATCTGCTGAAATAGCTGAGAAGATGGCTAGATTTCATGGCATGAAAATGCCATTTAATAAAGAACCTAAGTGGCTTTTTGGGACAATGGAAAAGTAAGTTATGCAATACTTTAAAGTATGGAAAAAAGGTGTCCTGTTGTAATTTTGATAAGCAGATCATTCTTACTGAATGCTTGCGAGCACAAGCTCTCCTGGCACCCAGAAGCTGTTTCATAGTTACTTGAGGAAATTACCTTGTAACATGTTATTTAGTAATTCTTCTTTTTAAACTCTCTTGATTTTAGTTTAAATGGCATCTTAGTATGGGAAGACTGATATACTTGTTTTCACAAATGCTGTACTATTGTCTCTGTTTTCCACAGATATCTAAATCAAGTGCTGAGGATTAAATTTACCAGAGAATCCAGAACTAGAAAACTGAACAAACTCCTCAGTTACAATCTCCCCCAAGAAATGACAAATCTAAGGTTAGTGGTAGACAAAATAAGCCTGTCTTCCTGTTTGCACAGTTTTAGTATGAATTTGTATACGTCTTCAAACACATTAGACAGTATAATACCCTATACTTGCAAGTTGGGGGTTGGTTTGGTTCTGTAACCAACCCGAGTCTCAAACGACCACAAATTGATACTATCGGTTGCTGATCAGTGAAGTCCAACTTCATTGTCCTGACCTTAGGCTCCTAACTGAGAAAACAGGGTCTTTCTAGAAATTAATAGCACTTCAAATTTTTACAACAAAATCCATTATCTGCTTGGAAGGGGAACTGAACTTAGCGATTTGTTCCTTACAAGATCCTGTGTTACTGTTTTCTAGAGCTATGCTTGAAGCTACTTCATCACCAGTCGTGTTCTGCCACAATGACTGTCAAGAAGGTAAGCTGCTAATATTTCATTACCTTCTTCACTGATGCAGTATTAAGCTTTTCCTGGTCACTTGTTTGATTTCCAAGAAGTAGTCACATTATGGAGGTACTGCCCTGGAATCTGACCTGAAGCAGCAGCCTGTGCACTCCCAGCATGCGACAGTTGCAGAGCAAAGTGCTCTGCCTTCAGCAAGCCTTCGGGTTGATGAAGAGAACATCCAGTATCATAAGTGGATTAAGCCAAGCATGTATGCGTGCTCTGTTAGTACAGGTCAGCTGATGATGAGAGCCTTGTGTGTTTTCTGCTAAGACTGTACCTTTTGTAGCTGTCTGCAGTATACCTGATCAGGGTAGCATATATTTTAGTCCTTTTCGAAGAGTGACACTGAAAAAGTACAGTGAATGGTGAAATGGAGACGAGGACAGTGCGACTCAGAAGCACTCAGCTTGTATGGGTCAGAAACATTAGGAAAACCTCACCTACCTTTTTTTAGTACTTGCTCTCTGGGAGTCACAGAGGGAATAAGAATTTTTCTGAGCCAGTTCTCTAAAGAGATGAAAAGGAGGCAGGGCTGATGGTGTTGCATATGCTGTGTTTGTGTTCCCTCTCACCTGTGCAGTGGGTAAGCTGGGCTGAGCTGGAAGGATGCTCTACTAGGACCATATGCAGGGCTGTTTGGTTCCCAGGAGTCCCAGCCTTGTTAGCTAAGGCTGAGGAATTGGCCTGGAAGAAGGGGGTTGCCCTGGAGGTTAGGCGCATAAGGATAGGTAGTGTGAGCGGAAGAAGCCACTGGTCTGGGATTTGAAGAGCTAGCTCAATAGCAGTGGATTTGAAGTCTCATCGCTAGTGTGGCAGGGTGCAGTACTGGAGGAGTCAGAGCATGGTTATGCTGGGGCAAGCTTCAGAACCTTAATTTTCCTTGGTGTACTGGGACAAAATACTGTGCTTGTTCTGTTGGTGCAAGGGTATGATATAGAGAGCAGATGTACCTGTGGAGATGGGACAAACTATTGCAGAGATTTAAATTACTCTATTTACTAGTTGGCACTTGACAGAGGCACACGTGATATCTTCCACATGAACTATAGTGACAAAGTGAATTGAAAGATGGATAAAGCAATGTCACTGTTATAGAAAAACTCAGTCTTTTCCTTTATAGGTACTGGTTGTGCCACGTATTAGAATAGCAAAGTGATCAGTCTGTGACTTTCAGACTGCTGTAAACCAATTCCTGTCCCAGGTGTTGTATGATCAACAATAGTGCTGTGCAGGTATGAGAGGTGCTACATAATTTAGATCTAAAGCTGTGGAAAGAAGCAATTCACTAAGGGTGCTAAGTCTGACAGCATCATCCAAGTTAGCTGCAAGCTAAACACTGGAGAAGCAGGACCCTTGGGACAACAAATCTACTACTGCCTGTACAGAAGAAAAGCTTTCTTGCTTTTGGCTTTACAAGGTTTATAGTATGACCAGTGTACCAATGAGCTGGTATACCGCCAGTGCAACTTGGCTTTTCCTGTCATTCTTCTGCAGAGATGTAAGGAATAACTGGGATCATACAAACAATGTTTCTCACGGTAGAGTATTGCTTTTCTATAATTTTCCTGGGTCTTTATTGAATATGCTCTGTTATCTTATAATTTTCAGGTAATGTCTTGCTTCTGGAAGGCAGAGAGAATTCAGAAAACCAAAAGCTGATGCTTATTGACTTTGAATACAGCAGCTATAATTACCGGTAAATCACTTTATTTTCAATAGGAAGGTGTCCTGCTTTCTACGTAGTACAGCGAGAGCATGTGCTGTGCTGCTGATTGTCTGTTCTAGTGAATTGGGTTTTGCTTGTAGTGGTGGACAGAAATGTAACTAGTCAAAACAGCTCTGGTCCTGATGGCATTGGGTACAGGCATACAGCAGAGTCAAAGTTGTTGGAGCTGGAACATAATGCAACCCTGAATTCCAGTAATGCTAACCCTGCAATAATGCTATCATTAGAGATGTGTCTGACTTTGTGCTGAGATGTAGTATGGATGCATTGGTATAAAACTTGGTAGCAAAGTCTAGTACTAATTTTCATGTAACTGGTAGCTTTCATTCTTAACTACCCATCTTTACTAAATGATTTTGATAACTTGCAAAAATGTTGTATTCCTTCATCAGTTCTCTATCTCCTTTAGCAGAACTGCAGTAAGTTCTAAGTAGCCTTGTGCTTTTAAACTTGATTTTAGGTTTGCTTAAGCAAATCTAGATTGCTAATATGCAAGTATTGAGGTACTCAGTCTTTTATCTCTCGTTCAGAGGATTTGACATTGGAAATCACTTCTGTGAATGGATGTATGATTACACATATGAGAAGTACCCATTCTTCAAAGCCAGTGTTCTTAAATATCCTTCAAAGAAGCAACAGGTAGGCACATAAGACAAAATAAAATGCCAGTGTCCACAGTCTTTGAATCTTACCTCTCTTTTCCAATGCTGTCTTGGACTTCCTCTGTCCCAAGACCTCTCTTCCATGTCTTCCTTAAATATAACACTTTGTGTAATCCTGACGACCTTTGCTTTAAAAATCACAGTAACTTCATAATAGCTATTCAGGATACAATATCATGTAGCTATCCACCACAAAAAGTCTGGTAGTTGTGGACTGCAGCTCTGAAATGAGTTGGAAGTAGCAAGATATCATCTGTTGTCCTAATATTATAGCTTTTCTTAAACCAGACTTCCAAGCAATTAGTAGAACCACCATTTATCTGAAAGCAAACTCCAGCGTCATCGATGTTCGAAAAAAGTAAAAGAAGTTATTAAAAGGCCTGCCTAGTTCTGAAAGAATCAAATATGTCTTGAGACAGAGTTGTAACTCTCGTTTATTTGCCTTCCAGCTTCATTTTATCTCCAGTTACCTGTCTGCTTTCCATGATGGCTTTGAAAATCTGAGCAATGAAGAGAAGTCCAAACTAGAAGAAGAAGTGTTGATAGAAGTTAACAGGTAACTTGCTTTTCACAACTGTATCTTGAAACTTCCACTGTGATACACCTATACTTGTATACCTCACTGGGTGGAGGAACTTAAGCCAAGAGAGATTCTAAGCTATTTATAAGTGGTAAAGAAAAAATCTGTCCGTTGTAACCTCTGAACGTGTGGTATACACTGATAGTGGAGTAAACACAATACTGCTCCATGGGGAAGCTAATGGAATTATTTTTATAGTGTCATACTTGAAGAAAAGGCATGGACATCCCCAAAGTAGGGAATGCTGTACTTACTGATGGGATGTTGAAATAAGGTGGTGTGATTTAGCTGGGTATTTCAGTAAACATAGCCTTGTAATTTCAGGTTTGCCCTCGCATCACACTTCTTCTGGGGTCTGTGGTCTATTGTACAAGCAAAGATCTCATCCATTGAGTTTGGTTACCTGGTAAGTTGTTTAATTGTAGTTTCATGTCATTAAAAATGTGTCTTTGTGGTACATTATCATAAAGTAAATGAGAAGATATTAGTTGCTGTGAGATGCCATTTAAGTGGAGTAAAGCTTCTAAAAATCAATGTGTTACTAGTCTGTGCTCTTTCCATGAGAATGTAAAGAATGTCTAAGATCAGAAAAACTTCAGAAATGCTTCCCATTGTTAGATAGAGACTGTAGCCTTATGTGTCAGGCTTTGCAGTGGGATGGCACCTTTCAGGGAAGTGATTCTTCTGCAATAAGAGATCCAGTGCAAGAGGGAAGCTGGCATGCAGTTAAGTGTGACTTTGGAAATGGAGTAAAGTGCACATGTACCAACATGTTGACATTCAGTGTGCACCAATAGCAGTGCCAGGGAGCTGCTTGTGCTTGAGAAACTCTTAACTCTTGGTCCGTGTTTGCTGTGAAGTGGCATCACTTTCAGGTATGCTGAATATCCTGCAGGACATGTTACAGAAGCCATCCTTTTGGGTGAAATTATGACCTTTTTTGTTCCTGACATGCTGGCAGCAGCTAATAGTGTTAGAGTTGAAATAAGATTGGAGGAAATATTAAGAGGCCAGAACAACTCTGGAGAGATTATCCTTCCCAAATAGAGCTAATTAATGCATTGAGATCATGGATTAGGAAGGTAACACAGTTAATACCTTCATCATGCTTCCCCATCCCAAAAAAGAAAACTCATCTCTGCTTACTGTTTTGAGCACTGAATGTCCCTTATTTCTCCAGGAATATGCGTTATCGAGATTTGATGCATACTTTGATCAGAAGAGGAAGCTGAAGGTGTGAATGTGGGAGGAGTGGCCTGTTGGTTACTGTACGAAGAGGGCAGCTGGACGGAACTTACACTGTGCTTAGGCTACTGTATCTCTAACAAAGGTGTCACTGAATTCCAGTTCCTTGGAACACAGGTGTACAGTACTGAAGACTGTATAAAAATGACTTGTTTACAGTTTTGAAATACTTGGAATGAGATTGGGAGGCAAGTAAAATAGACCAGTGCAATATCTTTAAATCTTTTTGCTCTAGAGGGTATTTTATATTATGGGAGAAGCTTACAATTCAGTGTCAATACCACATGCATCAGAGCAAGCTGTTACTGTGAGTACATTTTCTAGGGGGGTGTTGGCATTGAGGTTCATGTTGTAAGCAAACAGTTGTAAAAGATGATTCGTTGTAGACACTGCCTTTTAATGAGAAGGAAAAGCAAAGAAGACAACTGTTAAACTGTGAAGCAGACTTGATCTTACTGTAAGATTAGGATCAACATGCCCCATGAACACTATCTTCGAAGCTGCTGATATGTTACACCACTTTAACCATAAAATAACTAAAACACTTTGAAGCAGTACGCTTTAAAGCGTTATCTACATATACATGAATGTTTCTCTTAAGCGAGTGTGCCTGTGAAGTATGAATGAACTTTGAACTGGACATTCTGAAGGAGTTTGTCTTGAACTGTTCATTCCATGTCCTTCAAGAACATAATTTATCCCAGCCTGGTTGTCTCTTAAAATACTGTGTCCTGCACAGGGGGTCCTGGCAGCACTGGGAAGAGTGCCTTGAATTGCTCTAGCAACTCCCCAGATAACTGGATTGGCATTGACAATACTTGTAATTGGACCCTATCCCTCTTCCTGTGTTGCCACAGTATATGGCTGTAAGAAATACTAGAGCCAAAGACTGTGGAGAACACGGCAGGAAATTGCTCTTCTGCCCATCCAATGCTGACATGGCTTGGGAGGTGCTTTTCTTGCACCTTCAATTTTCATCATGTTCCAGCAGTCCAGTAAAGTGGAGTGTCTTGTGGGGAACAATAACATGTATATTGAAACTTGAGTATAATCTGTGTACATGTCATCTAAAGATCCTTTAGTTTTTTGGAACTTGTTTATTTTGAACGCTATTTGTGCTTTCTAACACACCATATTATAAATAATAAACTTGTAAGTCTACCATTTTTCACTTGTATAGCAAATACTGTTTCAAGCAGCTGAAATAATGTGCATTTCATGTACTGTATAGCATAACTTGTAAAAGCTGTCATTTTATTCTCTAGTATAGAGAATCATTTTCCATACACTCAATTATTAATACTTTATAATAAATATAAAGCACTTAAAACCACATAGTTCATATTCTTAAGTCTTTGATGTACCTGCAGGATAAAATAGATGCTGTTTCTAGCCTTAATCTATGCTGGAAATACTTCCTTGCTTACCTTCAAAAGCAGACTGATTTAAGCTTTAGGCTCAAGGCTGTGGAATATACCTTCTACTTAAATGCCTCTCTAGCATTTATTGTATAATTTGTATACTAATCTAAGACTGCAGGAAGTGCCCAGACCTTTCTCCTGGGGTAGGGGCAGGCAGGGGACCTGCCTGCAGAAGGTGTGTGTGGGTGGAGGAGCTCCTGCAGCAGCTGGCTGAGCTGCAGGAGGTGATGAGAAGACTGCGGAGCATCAGCGAGGCTGAGGAGGAGCTGGATAGCTGGTTGCATGCACAGTCTGCAGTGCACCCACTGTCTGTGGCCACACAGCCAAAAACTTCCCCACCAGCACACACAGAAGGGAGCGGTGATAATGGTTAAGAAGAATGGAAGCTTGCAAGGGCAAGGACCAGCAGGAGGAAGAGGCTTCCCCTGAAGCTCTGCTCTGCAGACTGAGGAGGAAACACCCATTGCATCAGGAGAGACACTGGAGCCAGGTAAAGCAGCCCCATCGGCTCCTTGGATAACACCCAGCGCATCTAAGAAAAACCGACGGGTGATAGTAGCAGGAGATTCTCTTCTGAGAGGTGTGGAGCTGACTATCCCACTCTAGAGATGTGCTGCTTAGTGGGGGCTTGTATCAGGGACATTACCAAGAGGCTACCGAGCCTTGTACACCCCCCTATTTTCCACTGCTGTTGTTTCATCTGGACACCAGTGATGCAGCCTGAGGTGCAGCAAGAGCGATTACAGAGCCCTGGGAGCAGCAGTAAGGGATGCCGTAGCACAGATAGTTTTCTCATCAGTCCTACTGGTCCAGGGGAAGGGGTTTGAAAAGGCCAGTCCAATCTACCCCATCAACACATGGTTACAGGAGTGGTGCCACAGCCAGGGCTCTGGCTACTTGGACCATGGGACTTGCTTGGAGGAACCTGGTCTGCTGGGCTCCATGTGTTGGAGAAGGGGAGGAGTACCTGTAGGCTTGCCAACCTGGTGAAGAGGGCTTTAAACTAAAGTTGCCGGGGGAGTGGAATCTCAGTCCAACCTCATCACACCATTTTGAAGCCAAGGCCAGCAATAGATGCCTGGAGAAGAATTACAGACCAGCAGGAAAGCACCTGAAGGGCAACACAAAGGCTGTCCTGCCAGTAAGTCAGCTTCTGCGGGGGCCCCACTGAAGTGTCTCTGCGCAAACGCGCCTAGCGTGGGGAATGAAGAAGAGGAGCTGGAGATGTGTGTGTGCCTGTGGGGCTGCTATCTCATGGGCAGCATGGAGACATGGGGGGATGGATCCTACAACTGGAGTGTTGGAATGGAGGGATATAGGCTCTTCAGGAAGGACAGGCAGGGGAGATGAGGAGGGAGTGTCACCTCAGTGTCAGTGACTGGCTGGAGTGCGTGGAGCTCCACCTGGGGTGGATGAGGAGCTGACAGAGCCTGTGGCTCAGGATCAGAGGGAGGGCAGGGACAGGGGACATGAGAGTGAGGGTCTGCTACAGGCCACCTGACCAGGGAGAGCAAGCAGATGAGAGCCTCTATAGACAGATAGGTGCAGCCTCATGTTCACAAGCCCTGGTCAGAAGTCACTCAGTCCTGCTGCTGTGCTCCACCTGGGGTGGATGAGGAGCTGACAGAGCCTGTGGCTCAGGATCAGAGGGAGGGCAGGGACAGGGGACATGAGAGTGAGGGTCTGCTACAGGCCACCTGACCAGGGAGAGCAAGCAGATGAGAGCCTCTATAGACAGATAGGTGCAGCCTCATGTTCACAAGCCCTGGTCAGAAGTCACTCAGTCCTGCTGCTGTTCCTCGGCGGTGGTTTGGCTGTCCCAGGGCAATACAGCCCGGGCAGGGAGCTGCCAGGCAGCACAGCACAGCCCTGCGTTGTTTCAGTGGCTTACAGAAAAGCAGGTACAAGGAGGAAGCACTGTTTGCTGTGCTTTGCAAAGACAAAAAGGCTTTTAAGAATTCAAATCCTCCCTTGAAAGATTTTTGGGCAACCTTTGGTGAGCGCCTTCAACTGGCAGGCGGGGTTGTCTCTGATGCCAGCCTGGGTTGGCACGGAGCAACAAACGGAGCATTTCACCAGAGCTGAATAAATATCTGTAATGGCTCTGGACTGAAATAAAATACAGCATGTGCTTACAGGGCAGGCCCTGGCAGGGAGCAAAAAGGAGTTACTGTGCTTGGTACCCAGGCAACAAAGCTGATCACTAGCAAGCAGCCTGCTTGGTTTTCCTAATGTGAAATTCATTTTTTATGGCTTTCGTTTTCAAAGCATGCAGAGCTCCTACTGACTCAGCATTAAGTGCAATCATGTTATAATGTGCAAACAAAGCCGTGTGTGTATGTATATGATTTGGATGTACTGGTCTCATTAAATAAAGTCTGAACGCAGTCCAGTCTGCCTTGCATGAATACACTGAACCCTGCCTTAGCAGGAAGCATCCTGACCAGGCGTTGGTTTGAGTCTGGGAGTGTTAGAGCACTAAAGGGCTTGTCTGGGGAATGGAGCCAGAAAAAGCCATAGGGTAAGCGGAGGTGACAGGGTTTGTTACAGGTCACAGGCTGTCTCACAGAGCCAGAAACAGCCCACAGCCGTTGGGTTCCAGCCCAGCGTGCTGTGTGCTGGACTAAATGTCTTCTCAGAAGCCTTACAAACGCTGCCTCTGCTGCCAGTCCTAGGGAACGTTACTTTTATTCGTTGTTCCCTTGTTAGAGAAATAAATACGACTCGGGAATTAGCCATCCTTCCTAATTTTCAAATCTTACAACTTTCAAGGTGGTGTAAAGTGGCCCAGGGGCAGCATTGCAATGGCACACAGCGGTGCTCAGGAGCTCCAGCATCCTGTGAGGGCATCCATGAGAACCTCCCTGTTCCCACCAAGTCAGGAAAGCAGCAGAGCCGAAAGGTACAGCCTTGAACAGGGTCAAAATATTACCAGTTGCCTGCATCGTGCCTTGGAGACAGAGATCTTTGCACCTCGCAGGACACTTACCCTCTGCGCTGCCTGCCATCATCTCAAATGCTTGCTGACCTTTGCGCTGGTGTTTGCCAGCTGGAAACTCTTTCCTCTGCCAGTGGGTTTTTTTCCTGCCATTGCACTTCCTCCTGTAGCCTGTGAGGAGGTTACCCTGCTGCGTTTGTCTTGGCTATGTATCCTGAAGGAAAGGGCATTGCAGTTTCTGTGTTGAAAACCTAAATCTTCTATGCTGAATAATCCCACAGAGTTCATGTTCTTTGTGCTTCTTGCTGCATCTCGCTGAATCACGATGCTGGGGAAGCCAGCAGAGACTGTGGCCGTATGAACCTATCGCAGATGTAAATAAAGAGAACAAGGGATGGAAAGGAAGAAGGAAGCCTGCTGTAATTACCCAACATAAAGATTATTAAATAATAAAATACTTTCCTCAGGAAGAGATTATAGAGGATTTTGTGTAATGTCTCGGCTATCAAGGGCTTAAAAATTCACCTTAGAAAGATTAATTAGAAGGCTACAGCTGTAAAGAGAAATGGTTATTTCATGAATCTCTCAGTAGGTTGTTTGGAAAAATACTGGTTTCTCCTTAGCAATAAAATTAATCAAACTATTCGTTTACATTGGATTATATTTTGGATGAAGACTCAAACTTCAGGTTTTTTGAAATTGGCTTTGAGGTCTTTTTATTCCAGTTTGCAAGTGTGAACAACCTAAAGGAAAATTAAAATTTTCCGTAGCATCTTCATTTGTTTTTCTTTCTGACCTCTCCCAACTAGCTTTTATTTTTTTATATTTTTTGCTAGGTTTGTTTATAAATATTTAGGCTTTTATCAAATATTTCTATAAATAGGTATCTGTGCACCTATGAAAGTACTGAGTGACTGATGGGTAACAATGTTTCCTGAGGAGCAGGGGGATTTCATGGTTATGGTCCTTTCTACTCTTCAATTTAATCAAAAGACAAAATAAGAAATATGAAGTCATACCTAAGCAGCTGTTCACGTGGCTGCATGCTCCAACTGCGTTATACATGAAACTACTGTTCGTGTCACAATTTGTGTTCTCACTTCCTAAGAGTGAAGAAGAGCCAAAAAGAGGAAGGGACAGAAAAGAAAGACGAAACTGGAGGCACTGGAAGTAGCAGTTGTGCAGATGCCCCTGTTGCACAAGCCACTGGTTC